ACCAGCATTGGGTCTACGCATAATGAAAACTTTATGCTCTGTTCGTAATTATTGTAAACATACTTTATAGCATTTAGGTTGGAGAAAATAAATATGGTTATCATTTTCAACGTTTCATAGTCTAAGCTAGACAAAGTTGATTGTTAAATAAAAGCTGGATATATATTTATATATACATGGATGTCTTGCATGCTTCAAAAACACAAACATGATTTAAAAGTCGATCATTGAAAATTGCGATCATAAAGAATTGCTTTCTCTACAGATAAATAGAGAATATGTGATATTGAATCAGAACATTTTACTTTCAAATTTATTTGTATGTTTTGAACACTTCTGATATGTATGAATGCTTTTTGTATTGAAGTCATAGAAAATATTCTTATTAATTCTAAAAGCTATCCTGTTTAGCTATATAAATATAGCCATATAAATATCAATATTACCATAGTCTTAGACAAGTCCCATTGATGCATCGTTCAGATTCTGGTGTTACGAATTCTTCAAATGATTTAATACATTGACTTTCTCTGATAACTAATCGAAATTATATGGACGCATGATAAAGTTGAGCAGAAAATTAAATAAGTTGATTAAACTTAAATAATTTTAATATATTTTTTTATTACTATATACAAGACCTTTTGGTTTATTATTTATCCATAATTGTGTCAAGCAATAACTAGTTGATGTAAATGTATCAAATTGAAGAGCAGAAATGTATTGAATGAGGACAGATCTACAATGTGAATGAAGCTCTATCTTAACAAGTTAAACTTTTCTTTGGATGCTCGTTTATAAACCTAAGCACCTATTCTCGAGTCGGGCATGTTTTTTTTCTCATTATCATGTTGCCCTGCACTTTCAATGGGCATCAAAAATACAAGTTTCATATCGAAGTTTTATGATCGAAAAAACTGAAAAGAAAAAGAAAAAAAAAAAAGAGCAAATCAAAAACCGTAGCCCAGGCCGTGAGTAAGCCAATGCCATGGCGTTGGTGGGAATGGGCATGGGTACGCGTATAGGAATAGCCATGGGAAGCTGTGCAGCGCGAAGCCAGAGAGACGAGCGGCAGCCAGCAGCCATGTTAACAACTTCCATTAAAAGAAATTAAAAGCAGACGACGCCGTTGGATGCGAGCGCAGCAGCAGCACCAGAAAATGGCGTTCCATGCCTGGGCTGGCGTCTTTGCCTCTTGCTCTTGCTCTGGGCATGGCGCTGTCTCAACCTCTTTCCAATCGCAACAATGCACAACTTCGACGACGACGACGACGACGAATGGCCTAAGCATTTCCGGTTTTCTATTGGAATTTAGACGCAGCATCTTGGCCTGCAGCAGCTTGGATGTTTGCCGCCAAGTGTGTGGACCGGGCCCAGGCATTGCAGGCAACAAAATAAAAGTCATTTTCGCTTTATAACTTACATTAAAAGCTGTCCATTAATATTAACATAACAGCTATGCCTAAATCTAATTACAAACCATAATCTCTGGCATTTTATCTGGCAACAAATTTTTTTGGTAACTAAGTATTAACGATCGCAAAAACGCGATCTCCACACTGATCACTGATCAACATTATTAACTGCGCTCAGACTCCATCTCTCAGAAACCGTCTCTCAGACCGACTCCGTTGCTGCCATTTATTCATGCTCATTAAGTTTTTGGCATCCAGCGATCGTTGCCTTGTCTGGGCCACTGCGACGTCGGTTCACGGCGTGTTCATTCACAAATGAGCGCCTTAAGCAGCTCCGCCCCACTGTACACACACACACGCACACAAGCATGTATATATGTATATAAAGACTCAACGAGGCACTCACACCAGCGCACATAATGAGCCGCCGCATACAGGCATGCAAGAAATTTATGTGGCAGGCACATAGACAACACACACACACACACACACACACGCACACGCACACATATATCGCTTAAAGAGAGGGAGAGAGATTCGAGCATGCATGTATGTATGTGTGGATGTACCTATATACATATAAACGCTCCACTGGCCTCTGTTGGCTGCTGTTGCTGCTGGCTCAGCTTCTTTGGGCACTGTTGCTACCTCCGCCGTTGCCTCTGCCTCTGCCTCTGTCGCTGCCAGTGCCTCTGTCTCTGCCTATGCCACAGCCGCTGGCTCAGCTTCTTCATCTTTAATTTGGTTCCGTGTATCTTGTTGATGGCGTTTTGCTTTTGCTTATATGTTTGCCGCGCTGCCGCCAACTATTGAATTTTGTTTTCTCTCGTCTTATTGAAATTATGCTACGCTTTGCATTTGCATTATGCTCGCTTGCCATACACAAACACACACACTGACACACACAGAGACACTCATACACTTTTATGTGGAATATAGTATTATTAAGCAGCTGTCTTGGCTGTTTATAAACCGTTACATTGTAGCTGTTGTTGCTGTTGCTGCTGCTGCCGATGCACTTTAGGCTGGATTCGTGTCGCGGTCCAAAAGGCAAATGCCAACCTTTTAGCGCCAAACCGCGGTACCTCTATTAAAATCCCATTCTGCTCGCATACCAAGTGTCAATTTTTAAGGCAAACAGCACAAGCGTGTTCGCGCTTTATAAGTGCCAGTGTCAACATTGTTGACAAGGCGGGGGTGAGACACAGAACAACAGACAGACAGACAGACAGACAGACAGACAGACAGACAGACAGACAGACAGACCGACACCAGGGGCAAAAGCTAAGTGCAAGGTGTTGGGGTAGCTGAGACTTTTTGCTAAAACAACTCGAAACTTCAGCGGAGCGAGAAAATTCTGGCAAAAAAAAAAGACGTAGCTTAACAAAGTAGCCAAGCAAACAAACAAGCGAGTACACAGACAACTCTAACAAAAGATACAACAGCTACAGATACGTTTGCGTATCTATGTAATGAAACAAAAAAAAAAACTATAAATATATTTGTGATCATTGTTAGCCTGTGGCTTTTGTGCGTCAATTTGTTATGCACACTTGTGGGAATTGTAGCTAAATATAATATATTTAAATATATATACTTGGTTGCGAATTTGCCGACTTGCCAGCGACTGAAAATTGCAAATTGCTGTGTACCTTGTGCCTTATCGGGCGATTACTTGTATCTAACATATGCCAATGTTTATGGTTGATATCAGTTCGTCGGCAACGGAACTTAACACTTTGGCAAATACCAATCGATTTGTTAAAATAATAACAGGAAATGTATTTGTATGCACATATAACTATAATAAGCAGCATTATGTCAAACATCCTGTGCCCATGACACGTATCTTATCTAATAATTGCGCTTATAAATATAAATTGAGCGACTTCCTTACTTTCAATCAACTGACTCACTCATATATATATATATATATATATATATATATATTTGAGACGATGATGTGAGTGCCTTAAATATTGACGGACTCGATTTAAGATAAGATTAGCTTTTACACGAAGGTGCAAAATGAGTTAGAGTTAATTGAAGTTACATTTAAGTCTTGGTATATTGATAAGGCAGGTCTTTAAAAATCTATAAAAAATACACCATATATCACAATATCTGAAAATGCTTGTAACCTCTTTAGCCAGATAATTCCAGCTTTTTCTCAGCGCCAACGGAAGTTGCTGCTCGCTCAAATTGAGGAAGAGGCCAGGGCAGCTGACTGAGGGGTACAGGTACAAGCAGCAGCAGCAGCAGCAGCAGCAGCAGCAGCAGCAGCAAAATGGTGTAATGACAAAGTGAGCAGCGTTGGCGGCAGCGGCAGCGGCAACTGAAACTAAGTTTATCTGTGTATGCATACGTATATATACATATACATATATATATACACGGATGTGTATGGTGTTGTATACATGAAGAAGAAGAAGCAGCAGCGAAGGCAAGCGAAACTGAAGCGCACAATACACAAAAAACCGGAACATTATTAATTTACAAGCAATAAAGCGAAGCCAAAAATGAAGAAAGGCAAAAGGTGAATAATGTGCAAAAAAAAGAAGCAAAACAAAGCAAAGCAAAAGCGGCCACAGAAGCAGAAGGCATGAGAAAAGGTAGGCACAAGGCGGCAAGCGGCAGTTAACAAGCCGCAAGAGTCGATTTCAAGTCAATAGTGCAAGTGTTAAGAGAAATTGCAGCAGCAGCACACACACATGCGCATGCATCCGATTGGCAACACACAAACACACACACACACACATACATAGCTAGCCAGAGCCATGGCCACAATGAACCGTCTTCCAACATCTGTTGCCCATAAGCATAAGTACATAAGACCAAGTCCATGCATGTGTGTGTGTGCGCGCTGCGAGACGCGCATACGACTGACTAGCTAGTTGTCTCGCTCGCACTGCACCAACAGCGAGCCAGCATAAAAATGAACGCCAAACGATCGTCGGGCTCAGGTCCAATGAGCGGCACACGCACACAACCACACGACGAGTGAACGCCAACCACGACTGTGTGCGTGCGTGCGTGTAGCGTGTGCCTGTGTGTGTATGCATGTAGCGACGTTGCCAGTAACAGCAGCGCTAACGTTGACGCCGACCGCGACTGCGACTGCGATGCCTAGGGTTCTGCAAAAGCACCCTCGGTACTTTGTGTACTCGCTACTCGGTCGGCCGCTGGCTTCGTGCGCTCGGATATGTCATTTGTCAATCACAGTGCGAGCGCAGCGGTTGTCGTTCTCCGTTGTTGCAAGAGAACGTTGCTCAATTTGACAAACGCCGCAGTTGAAAATTGAAAATTGGAAATTTTCAATTTAAATTGAAATTGAAATTGAGTTGAAAAGTTTGTGTAGCTACAAAATATTTCAAGCAAAGCAAGGCAAATAATTGGCAAACGTTGCGCTTAAATTAGATTTGTTTATTTGTTTGTGCCCATTTACTAATTAACTAAATAACTAACTGAGCCATTAAGCCCTCAAGTGCTAGCTCCAGTCGCACCTCCGACTGCGATTGCTTCGCTATTCAAATCAGTGTTAAGTGCAGTGCTAAATCACCAAAAAAAAAATAAATAAATAAATAAAAAGAAACAAAATCGAAATTTCGCATATTTATATTAAGTACACAAAAATATCATGGATAATCAAGCAGTTGCGGCGATCTGGTCCTGCGCCAGTGCCACCTGTTTGTCCCTGGATGCCAAACGCCACAGCGTGGAGACCAACAACAATGACAGGCAGGCTCCGCCTGGACTCAACAACAACATCAACAACAACAACAACAACAACAATAACAACAAATCAACGGCAGTTGATGCGGATCCTCGAAAGTTGCGGCACATTACGCATACGCCGCGTGGCAGCTGCTTTATGGCGCTTCTGTTGCTTTTGCTGCTGGCGCTGAACTTTAGGCACGCGCACAGCTGCGGTCCAGGCCGGGGCCTGGGACGACGCAGGGAGCGCAATCTGTATCCGCTGGTGTTGAAGCAAACTGTGCCAAATTTGTCGGAATATATGAGCGGCGCCTCTGGCCCGATCGAGGGCGTCATTCAGCGCGATTCGCCCAATTTCAAGGATCTAGTACCAAACTACAATAGGGATATAATATTCAGAGACGAGGAGGGCACCGGTGCCGATCGCCTAATGTCCAAGGTAAGTTCCCCCTAATCCACTTCAAATCAATGAACATTTACGTCTATAAATAACCGGCTAACAATTTCTGCCATTTCATTCCAATTGAATTGCCAAATTATGCGTGCTAATCGCCGTGTGTGAACGGCACCCAAACCCGTCCCACAATTATCAGAATCGTGTGCCGCGATTAGTGCCCCGTTCCCATTGATAATGCCTGTGTTTAAAGTGGTTGCACATTGTTAACTTTATGGGTGGTGCTCAACAGTTTTTGGCCAAGTGTGTGCCATAAAAGCAGCGCAAATTCTTTATCAAAGTTATTGTTATGTACCAATTATGTGGCTTATCGGCGATAAGCAATATTCTGCAAACCAAGAAGTCCGAGACTGTTTGTTGCTGTTCTGATTGTCGCCGTTTACGTGAGAAGGGGAAGTTTTGTACACCTCAGCACAAAATAAATATTAGACCATGTTAGCAAATGCGTTCAATAACCTTTCGATTAATCTATGTACAGAGATATATTGGATTGTATAAATATTGGATCATAACGCTTTTGAATTTCACATACACAACAACAAATGGCATCAAATGGGCAATTCTCAACATGTTAACATGACGCCAAGCCTCGCCCCCGACCCGCCCCCGCCACGCACACGCAGCCGAACCCGTCTGCCAGCATTGCCAGCGGCACGCGAGCATTTGCCGCTTATCGCATTGCCAATGATAACGCAGCCCCAGCCCCAGCCCCAGTCCGAGTGCAGCCGTGCGCCAAGTAGCTCACACACACACACACACACACACACAATCATACACCATATACATGGGTGTGCACATATTTGCAAACTGGCGTGTATCTTTGACACAAATGCGTGTTAAGCCAAAGCCAAAGCCAATGCTTGTAGCGTTTACATTTATCTTATCAATCGTCGCATTCGCAGCGAAAGTGGCAAAAAAAAAAAAATGATATGCGACACTTACCTGTGCCCACACGGCTGCAACGTGTGGGGGTTAGCGTGTATCTTGAAGTGCGACCTAGCTAAACAGGTGTTTGATTAAGGCGACGGCAGCTACAATTGTTTAACAGCTATGTGAAAATCAATTTGGCATTGCATTCAGAAAATAACTCAATATATAATAATACAATTTCCCCAAATGACGACTTCAACATTCTACCAGCTTATATAAGGGACACACTTCCCTTATAATTAATACAGGTGTTAAAAGCCAACAAAACGGTTAAGTACACTTTTGAGAATTTAAATACAGTGTTCGCTTGAGTATTTTAGCGTTTTGCTATCGGCTGCAATTCCATTTCGTGTTGTTATTTTCTTTTTTATACCCTCAACCCATTCAAAATGGGTATAAGGGTATATTGTATTTGTGCAAAATCCAAATGTATGTAACAGGCAGAATGAAGCTTTTCCGACCCCATAAAGTATATATATTCTTGATCAGCATCAATAGCCGAGTCGATCTAGCCATGTCCGTCTGTCTGTCCGTCCGTCCGTCCGTCTGTCTGTCCGTCCGTCCGTCCGTCTGTCCGTATGTATGAACGCAAGGATCTCAGAACCTATAAGAGCAAGAGATGTAGATGCTCCTAGTGCCCGCGCAGATCGAGTTTGTTTCCGATAATCGATAACTTACTCCGTTTCCAAGCAATCGATAAAAATCGATATCGATATCATTTTGGTAAATAATAAGAGCGAGTGTCACCAAACTTGACATATAGCTTCTAAAATAGAATATATATATGCATTTGATGTTAAAAGAAGAGGGTTCAGGGTATCCCCTAGTCGGGAGCTCCCGACTAGAAGCCCTTACTTGTTTTTCAATTATATAGTTGTCGCTGGCAAATGAGAATCGCGGTTCGAGCTGTTTGCTATTTGCGAAAATTTCCAATTTCTGAAAATATTTTCCATCACATAAATATAAATTAAAATAAACTTCATTTTCAAAAATGCCAAAGGGGAATGTTAACAAAAAATGTATCTTAAACTTTGAGTTTTTGAGTAAAAGCTGAGACATAACTATATTTGTTTAGGGAAATCTAGATTTATTTATTTAGAGGTCTTATTGTTATAAAGTTGTTATTTCAATTAATTAAAATTGTTAAAAGTGGTTGCTTCCACAATCCAATCTTAGGCTTTTTCTAAGATTTATGATGCCATATACTTTTCAAAAATTTTAAGTGAGTCATAAAAACTAGGAAAAACCCAATATCTAATATTAGAATTTAACATTTAAAAGTAAATTCTAATGATGTGGAAAATACACATTTTAAATGATTACAACTAACTAGCCCTGTTCTGATAAGACGCTGACTTGCACTTATTTAGGGCACGTATTAGTCAGTTATCGGCTTACATTATAAATTATGGCCAACGACAGACTATAAACATAAATGTGGGTGCGTATATGGGGCCATAATGTATACGAGCCGTGCGTCTTTCCGGGAAGCACTTGTTATATTTAGCTGTGCGTATCGATCGTAATTATTATCAATTAATAGGCATATTGCCAGGTGTATATAATATCAGTTCAATCACAAGCATAAGAAACTGTCTAAAGCAGCTACTAAAAAAAGAAACAGTTGCCAGTTGGCGGGATTTAGTTTTATGAGTCGCTTTTTCGGCTACATTTAATGGCTGACACGCGCCTCGAGGCAATTACAGAAATCGATTGGCTACAATTGCCAGCGGACCTTGAATTTGTAAATGCAATTGAAGTGTTGCCAGAACTGGCAAACAGTTAACACACAGCAGCAATTGCCATGGACACAGTCAAGGACAGTGAAGCTTCAAGGCCTGTTGCCTGCCGGCAAGGACCAAGGACGCACCACGGCCGTTGTTATTGTCACAAAATATTTACAACTGTTTGCCCAGCTACCGTTGTGACATTGAGCCACTGCAAATGCACTCACTTTCGAGTCGAGTCGCTGCAATCGGTGGCACAGCGCTGCGGCAATGTGGCAATGTGGCACGGTGACACAGTGCCCCTGAGCCAGCAGCGCAACTAAATTGCATTTTATGTGCAACTGGAACTGAGACCGAGAACGGGAATGGGAATGGGAATGGGTATGGTTATGGCCATGGAAACTGGGACTTGCTGCTGTGCGTGAATCTTGGCTGGTAAGCAATTCGTTTTGGCTATTAAAGCGCCAAAAAGGCAGCTAAATTTGTGTGTTTCACGTTGTGTGTGCGCTTCGCGTGGGCGCGTAAGCAGTTTGCATAAACAAATTACTGGATATTGGCGTAAAGTGCTAAAAATAAAACAGATGCAGAAACAGCGACAGCAACAACTGCAACAACTGCAATTGCAGCAGAAACAGAGGCTGTCGCATCATAAAATTGAATAGCTTATGACAGTCATTGTTGTTGCAGTTGCTCACCTGCGCCCGCTAGCCAGGTAATTACATGTATATGCATTTACTTGTATATGCCGTGTATGGGCTGTGTGGAACAGCCCCAGCCCTGGCTTCGCCTGCCTTCAGATTAGACAAAGTTGCGCCCCGAACCGTAAGAGGCAGCGCCTGGCTGTGGGGCTAGCCAGAAACCGCAGCAATCGCAGCCAGACAAAGAATGCGTCAAAAAGCCGCAGCATAACTTCTAAAATTTCATAAATTGTAGCAACAATGGGCCAAAGCCAATGGTAATCTGATATGATTATTGACGAGCGGCAGCCCAGCCAGATCCCAGCCCAGGCCCGGAGCTGATCTGGGCTCTGGGCAGCATGCATCAAGCATCAGCCTCAAATCAAAGATAACCCACAGCTGAAGGCATTATTAATAGAACACTGGCATTCATTATGACTCAAAAATTGATCCTATTATAGCGCAGAGACAGACAGACAGAGAAAGGGAGAGAGAGAGAGAGAGAGAGAGAGAGAGACAGGGTCACAGGCTGGTTAGATGATGTCAGAGTTTCGGTTTCAGTTTGAATTTATATTTGGGATTCTTCTCTTTTTTTTTGCTCCGCTCAAATCAAATCACGTCAAATGCTGCGATAAGCAAAATATTTGGCATAAATTCGTGGGAATATTTTGGGGCTACAAAGTAATCAAACATATCAAACAAACATCAGTCAAGCAAAGTGGACAAATCGTTGGCGAATACCCAAACACACACTCGTACACGCACACGCACACACACACATACCCATTTGCCATTTGGAGTTTGAAGTTTGTCTTTATGGTTTATTTGTTTGGCTTTTCGAGCTTTTATATTATTATTAATCAATTTGATACTTTTACGAGCGCACTCAAGCGCAAACCTCAAGGATTTGTGGCCCCAAAATGCCTTCGCAGCCTCTTCTGCTTTATTTGCATAAAAGTTTTATGAACTGCACGAGTTGAGGGCGATCGCGACTGCGACCGCGATTGGAATTGGGATCGGGATTGGGATCGCATCGAATCGCATCGCATCGCATCGCATCGCGTCGCGGCTATCACATTACGGCGACGCGACTGACTCACATTTCACATGCTGCGGCTCTCCTCGGACCAGATTCCTGCAAGTCATCTGGCTGCGTCTTGGGGTAGGACAGCGCTGGATCGGGTTAGCTTTTGGGTTAGCTCTGGGATCAGGCTGGGGCTCGGTATGGGGCACGGTAACACGGCATCACATCAGTGCCAATGTGCGGCTCATAACTCATCATCAAAGTTAATCACACATCACGGATTATGGCGCTTATCATTTAAGTTGCGCCGGGCTCGAGCTCGGGCTCGGGATGCTGCCTGCTGCCTGCTGGTTGCTGGTTGCCAGAGACTTACCTGTCCAAATGACTTTCTGTGTGCGTGCGTGTGGGGGCATTTAATGTGTATGCGGGACGGGGGGCGAGGCAGAGATTTAATTTACGATTTCTGCAAATTAATAGCGTTTAATTAATAACAATAAAATGACGCCTTTTTATGGACATTTATTTGACATCAGATTTATGAGCGTTAGGCAGCGCAATGTAAATCGTCTGACTAACTGACCGACTGACTGACAAAGTGACTAGCTCAAAATTACCAACAGAGCTGTTGACTATTTAGTGTACAAATTGATGTTGACGGATATGCGCAAAATAATAATTAATACGACAAGAGAATGCATTTCGAAATTCGCGTTTGTCTATTAGCGCCTCATTCCGCCAAATTTGAAAACAAAATGAAGCATAATTAATAATAAAAGTTATAAGCTTTTGCCATAACAAACAAATGCGAAATGAATCAAACCATTTGCTGCAGGCAAACCAAAACAAGAAAAAGTGGTTTGCTTCATACTGCCGAAGTTTAAATACCCTTGCAGACAGCTTTAATTGTAGGCGAACTTTATGAAACAGCGCCCCAGTCTGTTCTTTAGACAGACGAGTGTATAAAGAATCATATATGTTATTTGCAACTGAGGAGGTCCTATTGCATGCGTTACATGTTCCGTGAGAAAACAATATTGCCCCGCTGCAAGGGTATAAACATTTTGGTGGCACGACACAGACAGACAAGATGCAATCTTAAGCAGCCAGCAGCTCAGACAACCAACAAAAGCAACAACAAGGGGCAACTGAAGCGCTGGCATTGATCCAATAAGCCAATGCCAAAAAGGCAGCCAGGCCGACAGTGTGACAGGCCGCCCTGTATATTTTAATGAGTATCAATTTATATTGAAACAATAACAATAACAAACAGGCGACAGTCGGAGCGGGCAAAGAGCAACTGGCCAAGTGAGAATTCTCAGCGAATCGCAAATCTCAAACACTGCAGCTCATTGCGTATACGTAAACAAGAGTGGGCAAGGGAGAGGGGGTAGGGGTGAGGCAATCAAATAAATAAATGACTAAAGCCACAATCGCAGCCCAAGTCTCATTTGGATTATGAATTCTGATTGAGTTTGTCATGCGCTTAATTAAAAAACAAACAGAAAGAGAGGGAGAGAGTGCGATAGAGAGAGAGAGAGAGAGAGAGAGAGAGAGAGAGAGAGAGGGCGAGAGAAAATTGCGCTGTAATAATTGCGCTGCACACAGCATAAACAATCAAAGGCGGCGATGAATGCCTCGCATGCTCGCTGCTGGCTGATAAACAAAAAAAAAATTCAATTTTCTAATGGAAATATACACAAAACGAGTAAAAAAAGCGAAGCTGTGAATAGATTTGCAACACAAATAAACAAATATCAAAATGGCTAAAGGCTTTTAAAGTGAGTAACATTTTATGGTCGCATTGTCGTCAGTCCGTCTGGCAATGGCATTGATCTTGACAGGAGCGCAGCACATCAAGCACTTGAATCAATCAGATGCCATGGCGGCTTTTCGCCAATTAAGTGAGGAAATCTGGCCTCGTCGAGTGGGCCACACACCTAGCTGGGCGCTGATTGATTTGACAAAAGCAACTTAAGTTGCCCCTAAGTGGCACAGCCAGCCAGGCTAAGGCGCACGCTCAAGTGCTGCCGTTGCTGCTGCTGTTGACACATATACACGAGTGGGTGTCGTTGTAGCGTTCCTGCAACGATATGCTCATATCCTGTACGGGGTGTTCTGGCGGTGCCTTGGCCTGCGCTTCCTCAGTTGTAAGTTTTCGCTTCCTCCAGCGCTGCCGGCAGCGATCGCAATCGCCAGAAAGGATATGGCATATCTGCTTACATCACACGGTCACTGACGCACGTGTGCCTCGAAAGGGGTGATTCTCTTCCTCTCTCTCTCTCTTCCCCTCTCTCTCTCCCTCTTTGCTTCGCTGGAGCTGTGATTGCTCAGCTCGTAACTTGATGCGCACTTGAATTATGTCGTTAAATTGTGTCGTTTCCTAATCGTTAGCCATTGTAATCGGAGACTGCAACTGCAACTGCAGCAGTCACATTTGCAAAAACAAACAAAGCCCGAATTGGACTTGGGCATGGGCTTTAATAGCATTTTAGCATACGTACTCCCAGTGGCCAGTCCGTTCCCCCTTCACTTGGCCTAATGATGATGAGCGCCTAATAATGGAGCCATGCTCGCTGGCAATTTGGCTTGGCTGGCGCTTCTCGCGCCGCCTAAATGCGTGCCATTAAGCGCGTCAAATTGGCAGCTGGCAGACGATTTAAATCAATAAAACCTGCAGCTGGGCGGCAATTAAAAACGAATCAGTGGACCCTAACGTGCCCGTGGGCTGCGTTGAAAGCTGTCAAGCGGGCGCACACAACAAATTCAAAATCAAAAGAAAAAAAAGATGGAGAAAAAAAAAACGTATATCAAATGCAAGCAAAGTGTAAACAAATCGCTTAAGTTTGGGGCGTGGCCGTAGCTGGCAAAGTTCACACCTTGTTTAATGTCTAATTAATGCAGCAGCTTTTCTTTGGATTTTGGCCAGGGCATAAGTGCACACACGCACACACGCACGCACACACACACACACACACACACGCACAACTAGATGCATGCCGTGGCATGCAACGGCAACTGGCACTCGCTTATTTACACTTGTGCTGCTGCTGCTGCAGTTGTTGTTGTTGTTGTTGTTGTTGTTGCTAGGATGGGTTGATGTTGTTGTCTAACAGCCATGCCACTTACCATACAAACACATTATTTAGCCATCTTTTTGGGCCGCCGACGCCGACGCCGCCACCGCCACCATCGACGATGCTACTTTTAAATGTTTACCTTACGCACCCGTCGGCATTTTCTACTTGGCACTTGGGCTGGGGCCTTGTTTGTGCATCGATCGGGCCCGGTTCGTTCCAATCAAGCAACGAGAGCTCAATGCATTAGCATGTTGGGTAAACATCGTTGGCATGCTTAAGACAAAGACAACGCTGATGTTGCCGTGCTTTTATTTGCTGTTTGGCGTTACGCTTTTGTGCTCATTAGCAACAACGGCTACGGCAGCGGCAACGGCAACGGCAGGGAAGGCAACAGTTGAGCACTTGACTGGTTAAGCCTTTTAATAAAGCAAAGTTGTTCAAGAGTCAAAAAATATATATATCTATATATATATATATATGTATCTACATGCACGCTTACACTTATATGCAAATAGCATTGAACTCTTCCTGGAATGCGTTTTTGGCTTGGAGTTTCGGTTTGTTTCGTCCTGCTGTCCAATTCGCCACAGCCAGCAGTCAGAAACTGTGGTGTGACAAATTAAAAACCGATTTGCTTGGCATTGCCAAACAACACAAACAGCAATAACAACAACAACAATCAACAACAGCAGCATCAATAGGCAGCAAACAATGCGGCGCACCCAAAATCAAAACAAAGTCCCAAAACTCAGTCTGGGGCAAGCTGATTTCTGTGGCTTGTTAAAAAGGATCTTGAAAATTGATTTTACGCCAGCTAGAACTGCGTGCCAAATGTTTGCACACAATGAGCCAACACACATCCTGTGTTGTGCCTGGCTGCCTGCCTGCCTTCGGCCAGGTTCGACTCCGATCCCGAGGCCGTTGATAATTGATTTTGCGGCTGGCGATTGCGCACAACAATGACAACATTTTTTTCTTATGTTTTGTATTTATCTTCTTTTTTTTTGGGCACTCAATTTGGTTGTTGTCTTATAAAATTTCAATATTTGCATTGCCGCTGAATCCTTTTTCTTTTTTGTATACAAGCGTTAAAAGCAGGAAAAACACAGAGAGTAATCACAAAAAAACGCCGACAACAAAACAGAAATTATTTTACATATTCTATATACGCATAGTCTGACTATGTTCCGTATCCACCGCATTGGCAAACAAGACAAGTGTAGCCCAGCCTGAAGAAAGAGGCAAAAAAAAAAGGTCAGCCAATGTCTAATCTTTAATATTTACTTATACATGCGAGGGTCAGGGCTCTGGGTCAGTGTTTGAATTGTGCATTGGCAAATAATAAAAACTAAGCCTTTGCCTTTGCCTTAGCCTTAGCCAACGACAAACACACAACCAAAAAAGAAAAAAAAAAAAAACACAAGAGAAAAGGAAAAGGCAAACAAGAGCCACACAGAAAATAGTCAGACTCATGTATTTGTTGAGGTTGAGTCGCAACAGGTTCAAAGGATGCGGCCAAAGCGGCAACAGGCAGCAAGTTCGTTGCTTAAGTTATTCGTTTGGCCTCCCAACAAAAAAATAGTCGGAGAAAAACTGAAAACTGAAAATGAACGCTGACCCTTTTGGGCAGCCCACGAAATGAATGCCCAAATACCACGCCTCTCCATTGCGAGAGCAATACACACACACACACAAACACACACACGCACACGCACGCACGCACACACAGCTGTTTCTCTGCCACTCGCATGCGCGCTGTCTCTCTCTCTCTCGCTTATTCCCGCACTCTCATTGTTAAATATGGCGTATATTTTTGTTTTTTTTTTTTTCATATAGCAGTCGTTAAAGCGGCCGCCTTGTTAACAATTTCCAATGTTTAATTGATTTTCTTTCCATTTTCTTGACCCGTAGCGCTGCAGAGAGAAATTAAATACGCTGTCCTACTCTGTGATGAACGAATGGCCTGGCGTTCGCCTGCTGGTCACCGAAAGCTGGGACGAGGATCATCAGCATGGCCAGGAGTCGCTGCACTATGAGGGACGTGCGGTCACCATTGCCACCTCGGATCGCGATCAATCCAAATACGGCATGCTGGCGCGGTTGGCCGTCGAGGCTGGCTTCGATTGGGTGTCCTATGTCAGTCGCCGGCACATCTACTGCTCCGTCAAATCAGGTAAGCAAACGCCAAGCGATTTGTCAACTTACCATATATATATATATGGTGTATATATACTGATGTATATAGCGCAACATGCTTGCATGTCAAATGCCAATGGCAATGGGCTGGCCAGTTAGCCAGAAGTGACACTAACAAGCGTAATTTCACATGTTTCCCAACTTACAACGGCCGCTAAGCTGACAGGCGTTGGCAAATTTTGCAGCCCAGTCAAATTAGCCAAGCTGCAGTTATCCAGTTCCCGATCCGCAGCTCCCCAGCTTCCCAGTTGTCAGTCGACAGACTACAGAGTCTACAGAGTCCGCACAGTCTGCCGCATCTCGTTTATTTCGAGTGCGAGCGTGTGGTAACAGACAACAACAAAAAAGAAAGACAGAAACAAAAAAAAAAAATTGAGAAGCAGCAGCAACATTGTCGAAACCGGCCCCGAAACCGTGGCCAGCGTCCAAGTCCAAGACGCAACCGGAGGAGTTAGAGCCCAAGAGCCGAGAGTCGGGTCCACAAACGGCGACTAACCGCATGTTGTTGTCTTGTTGCTGTTTCTGTTTCTGTTGTTGTTGCTGTTGTTGTTTTGACATGTTTAGGTTTGCGCCTGTCAAATTAAACGAATTGATGATACGACACCCAAAGCGTTTCTCAGGCCAGGCCAAGATGAATTAAATGCCGAGCTAAAACCTGCGCGCGGGCCTAATTGAAAAACTGAAACGGCCAACAAGTTAGCAACCCGGTGTGTGTGTGTCTGTGTGTGTGTGTGTGTGTGAGGTGTGTGCGAGTATATAGCTTGCTGCCATTATGGCAGGCAACCAGTTTTCCCCGAAACATAACGAAACTGCCAGAAGAGTCAAAGCCAGAGCCACAGCAAGAGAAAATGCTCTTGCGCACAGCCAAAGTTAGCCAACCAAAAAGGCCAAAACAATTAAGTTTACTTGCTGAGAAAGAACGAGCGAGACAGGCAAACAAAGAGAGAGAGAGCAGCTAGCTTGTGTGCGGCATTTTTTGCAATATGATTCTGATTTTCTCAACTAGCTTCTAAAATTACATGATGACTACAGAATTTCCCACACAAACAAAAAACAGATAAACAAGAAGGCAGCCACACACGAGGACGGAGGCATCACAATATTTTGACTTTAGTGCGACCCACAAAAGATCAAAGGGCCAGCGAGTGTCCTTGCTGCCCGACTCATTGATTCTAATTGCTCATGAAAGAGGCCGCCGCTCGAACACCAAAAAAAAAAGGTTCTTTTGCAGTCATTGGCTATCAATAGTGGCCCTGGAAAATATCAAAAGGTCAGACAATAAGCCGACAAACGACAAACGACAAATGCTAAACAAGTGGCCATGGCAAGGATGCAGCCACAGGGTGTGCGTGCGTGTGTCAGTGTGTGTGTGTGTGGTCCTGCAATAGTGTCAAATGGCTGCAACGCCATGTGCTGGCAGCGCCTGGCAGCTATTAATAAATAACCGGGCGATTGATTGCTGATAGGCCGACGCACATAAACCACACGCTTATGACAGTTTTGGCACAGCGGACTCGGTGTCCAGTGTTGGCTCCAGTTCGTTGCCTAAGTCTTTTGTATGTGGCCTAAACAGCAGCAGCAGCAGCAGCGGCAGCGGCAACGGCAGCAACGAAGAGTAATGGCTGTAAACCTTTTTGTCGACACTAATTTTGTTTCACTCTTTTTTTGTTTCGTGCAAGTTGTTGGAGTTGTTGTATTTGTTGTTGTTGTGTGTGTGTCGCGAGCCCCAAAGCGTGTTGTTGTCGTGTTGCCTCTTGTGCTGTGTGCATGTTCATGTTAATGCTGTCCAAGCGATCAGTCACCACAACTAGTCACATAGCCGATGTGTGCGTGTGTGTGTGTGTGTGTGTGTGTGTCACTGTGCGCGGCTGTCCTCTGTTTTGTAATAATTTATCAGTTTAGTCTTCACAACAAAGATAAAATAACGATAATTTTAACCACTTTAATGGTTTATTAATTTATGACCCTTCAGGTTCTTCACTTTCCACTCGCCGCCGCCGCCGCCGCCGCCGGTGCCGGTGCCGCTGCCTGACGCTGAGATTTTTCTCGCCAGTTCTGCGTTTGCGCTCGTGTTGTGGGTACCTACACACATTTATTTTGTTTCTGTTTCTGTATTTTATTTTTGTTATTTTTTTTTTTTTGTTTTTTGTGGGTTTCACACCAAATTTTCTGGCTGGTTCAGCTTGTTACTCAGTTACTTCCTTGGTTGTTTTTTGTCTAGGGTTACCGTTTGTGGCGGCTGCTCCCGTCTGAGCATCGATTATGGACCGCTTTATAGACCGCTGTCTTGTATTTAATCCGCTTTTTATTGTTTCTACACTCTCGTCTGTCCGTCCGTACGTCCGTACGTCTGTGAGCCCGTGTGTGTGTGTGTGTGTGTGTATCAATGGAAATGGTAGGTGCATTTTCATTGGAATTTGGTTGCGCGGCAACCGCAATAACAATGCCACTTTTATGGCCACTCATTATAATAAAGCGCACGGTTAGTGGTCGCCTTGTTGTTATGGAATTTATTTTTTTTTCTTATTTTTTATTTGAATTTTACAAGCGACTGCGGCGAGCGGGCGGCGCTTCGGGTGTGAAATATGCGCACGAGATGCAGAAAAGAAAGTTCTGGCCATTTAGAACAAACGCCAAACAAAATGGCCGACATATTCAGCTAGCAGCTGGGTGGCCCAATTGCTGCTCCAGTCCCTGCTCCTGCCCAGTAACCCAATAGCTATTAATGATGATTAATGCTGTTGCTGCTGCTATTATTGTGGGTTGCAACATGTTTTGTAATTGAATTTGTGCACAGGCAGGTGCTCGCAGCTACCTGAGCAGGACCTCATCCTTTGGCACTTGGCTCGTTGGCTGGCTGGGTGCGTAGCTAAGCTGCTTTGGCTCGAGCTCGAGCTCAGCCGCATTGCTGATCCCAGGGCTAATCTTTAAGCAAAAACAAGATCACAATTTTGTTAAACTCGAAAAAAAAACATCCTCCCATGCCGCTGTTGCTGTTGTTGTTGTTGTGCATGTTATTGATATGCACGGCTATCAGTTGGCAGATCGCATTTTGTGCTCTCTTCGTGCAGTTGGCGGCGGTTTTGTTTGAAAGCCGCAAAAGGCAGTTGCCATTGTTTTGGCTGGTCTGGGCCGGGTTACGGTTACGGTTACGGCTACGGTTGCCGAGCCCTAACTGTGAAAACCTTTTTGACTTGTAGGGTTTTGGCAATTGGACGTTGCCAGGGCCGGCATTATTAACGCCAAATTAGATTAGGCGCACTAATGCCATTACCTGGCCGCATTTCCTCCTCTTTTTTTTTCACTTTTATTGTGTTGTGGCCACAACTAATACTCTTTTTGCTTGTTTCCATTGCAGATTCCTCGCCTTTCATTTCGCATGTGCATGGCTGCTTCACGCCCGAGAGCACAGCCTTGCTGGAGAGCGGCGCAAAGAAACCTTTGAGCGAGCTAGCCATTGGAGATCGTGTGCTGAGCATGAACGGCAAGGGTCAAGCCGTCTACAGCGAAGTCATACTCTTTATGGACCGCAATTTGGAGCAGATGCAGAACTTTGTTCAGCTGCACACGGATAGCGGTGCGGTGCTGACTGTGACGCCCGCGCATCTGATCACAGTCTGGCAGCCGGAGCGACAAGCGCTTGACTTTGTCTTCGCGGACCGGGTCGAGGAGCTTAACTATGTGCTGGTGCATGATGCAGCGGGCGAGCTGCGCCCACATCGTGTTATCCGGGTGAGCAGCGTGCGCAGCCGCGGCGTTGTTGCGCCGCTCACGCGCGAAGGCACCATTGTGGTGAATTCCGTGGCCGCCTCCTGCTACGCCGTCATCAGCAGCCAATCGCTGGCGCACTGGGGCTTGGCGCCCATGCGGCTGTTGTACACGCTACAATCCTGGATGCCAGCCAAGGGCCAGCTGCGCAACGCGCAGGACAAATCGACGCCAAAGGATGCCACGGCGCAGCAACAGAATGGCCTGCACTGGTATGCCAAAGCGTTATACAAGGTCAAGGACTATGTGCTTCCGCAGAGCTGGCGTCACGATTAGCCAAGCAGCAGCAGCAGCAGCAAGAGCAGGAGCAGGAGCAGGAGTCCCCCAGCCATTTAATACACTTATGCAGTTCCACATGCCGACGTAGACGTCAGATTCTTTGGCCGCCGCCGACGCCGCGTTAAGCGCTAATTGTAATATATTTTGTAGTTATGTATGTATATGCCTAAAGATTATTGTATTTCAATGTTAATTGCGATTAATGCTGCTTAATACTATTTATTTATGACGAACGAAAGCAAAGTGCAGAATGCTGTTGAAAATATCTATGACATTTTTTGTAAACGAACATTTAGCTATAAGTAGGCAATCCTTGGCAGATATCCTAAAGCCGCAACCAATTCTTGAAGCGACGATCATGACGACTGTTGTATATTTTAAAATAATAATGCATATTTATTAAAGTGCGGAGTGAGTTCAAACTATGGAATATATATTGTAATTTATATAAATATATATTTTTATATATATATATATATATATATATGTGTGTGTGTGTGTGTATTTCTTTTGTGTATATAGAAGCATTATAGTGACTGAATATTTAATTGTAATTGTGTATATAATATACTTGATAGTTAACTGCGTATTTATACTTAATATTTAATGAATTATAACAAAATTGTTTCATAATTGCGAATGTGTTTTTATTTGAATTGAATATCCTTAGCCCAAGCCGTAAGAGCTAGAAACCCAATCTGTGTACTCTAGTTACCTTATATGATGAAACATGACGAATGTTCCACCAGAAAGTGATAAAAAAAAACGTGAAAAACGGTTTTGAGGTGTTTTTATATTCGACAAAATCCTCCAATGAGGAAATGGGAGTTATAGATTTAAAGTTTCGGGCTTAAATTCATTTACAAGAATCTTTAGAAAAAATTCACTTGAAGCGTGTTTCACCCTTTTCGCAAAATCCACTCTATCTGGACAAAATAAATGGGGTCAGACAAATTTTGGACATACTTTCAAGATTCGTCCATTCGGCTTCAAAGTTATTTAATTATGTACAATAGAAGATATTTGTAATATACCATTTGAGGAATGTCAGAGACTTTTTGCAATATTCATCCCTCTTGGATAGAAAATGCGGATCAAGAGTTGTGGGAAATGGGTGGAAAACTGATGTCTTAAGTTAAAAGCAAACAACTTCAACGGGGCCTAAAAATATAAGTTAGTATTGTTATATATATAAATTCTAAATCTGGGTGTACTGACTCTACGAGACCAAATTTGATCTCTCTAGCTCATAAGGAATATAGATATTATAGGTTCGTACATACTAGATCAACTTTAGTGCTGATCCGAAGCAAGAATATACATATATACTCTAAAAAGTCGGAGAAGTCTCCCTTTGCAGGACGAAGTTAAAAAATAGCATACCCTGTTTCATAAATGCTTGAAAACTAAATAAGTCTATCGGACATAAAACAAAAGATTGTCAGCAAAAGGTTTCATCGTATAATAATAAATTCTCGTGTATTTGTTGTTTTAGTAAGCCAGAAAAGAACATTTAATAATAAATCAAATTCAAAAAGAACTGGTTCTGTTCCAAAACAAATTCAGCTGTGAATTTTTAAACAATTTAATCGACTTTGGTATTTTTTCAATGAAGTTGATGGTATTTTTGCAAAAGTCGCTTCTGGTCACACTGTAAACAGGCGTCCTTTCGCAAATTTTTGTTTGTTTTTTTGTCATACTAATACTAATATATATTTAAATTATATTCAATTTTAAAGAAATAATGTTGACTGTTTGCCGTCTGTGTCTGGCGAAGGATGCCAACTTCGTCATATTTAATGGCCAAGCAGCAGTGAGAATAATGTCTTGCACAGGTCTCGAAGTTGATCCCAACGATAAGCTACCGCAGCTCATCTGCCATACATGCCGAGTGCGTCTGGAGGAATTTTATTATTTTCGCAAACGATGTCATGCCGCCGATCGTCGACTACGTCAGTTAATACGCCTCGACCGTAATTTCGACGGCCAGACCAGTGACTTATTCGATGGCGACAAAGAGGATGCACTTCTTTTGAAGGATGTAGCGCAATGCTCGCCCACAGCGTGCTCAGAGAGCAATGCGCATTGGCGCAGGGAGGCGGCACAGCTAATACGCTGTGAAATCGATAGTTACAAAAGTGATTTGCTTGCCCTGTGCAAGCAGCAAGTGCGCGAGGAGATCGAGCAGCAAGTGCGCAGTGAAATGGAAGATCTACTCCTAGCGCAGGCCAGAAAGGAATGTCACTTGAGCGTGTTGGATGACCTCTTCTACGATATTGAGTCTTGGTTTGTTCACAAACGCAATAATGTTGTGCGTGCGCAGGCACTTGGCTCAGACGGATTTACCTCCGACATGGACGCAGCAGAGCTGGAAAGCATATCGACTACAGCGTTTCAAAATACCAGCAACTCCGAGGCCGAGCTCAAGATCCATGCAGAGTCCACTAGCTTGAATGCCAGTGAAGTGGGTGTAGTCGAAGTGCTTGGTAATATCGTAAAATTAATATGCATTAGCAAAAAGAGTTCAATTACAGCAACGATTATTTCAGATGATGAGTCCTTTGACCAAAACCAGACGCCAGAAGGAGAATCTTCCGAGAGTAAGCCTTGCAATAAAGAAAAAGTTACTGGACCTGCAACTGTTGTGCCCTTAACAATGGTTGAAATCAACATGCAAAATACACAGTACAGTCACTTGCGAGAGGATCTAAATAGTGCCAATTTTCTATCTACGAAAACTGTAGCGTCCCCAGCTAAACAACGACCTTCCGAATCCAAACCGACTACAGCAAAACCTCTAAATAGAAATGCTCCATACGAGAGAATAAGGGAGCACATTTGTCTAATACACGGATCAGGCACGAAGCGGAGGAAGACATATAATTCCAAAGACCGAAACTGCTACCGTTGCCGCCTTAGAGGCTCTCAGGGCAAAAAAAAATCATGTTAAAAATAGCTATTTTATTCCTGTGCACCATTTTAAAAATTTCAGTGTTCGTATTGTTCCATATCTTACTGTAAGCCTTTTATATAGTATACTAACATTTTTTTTTTAATAAAAGATTTCGCGCGCCAAATTCTAATTTTTTGGCGTTTTTAAGCACTAATTCTCGCCTTCAACACTGTATGTAGCGATGATTCGCTTCAATTATACGGTATTGGAATTGGAGGTGTGTCGTGTTTTCCTTGGCATCTAAACTGCCTGAAAAATTTGATAATATACAAGCAAATCAATCAAGTTCTTCTTTTCGTTGAAGAAACATTTTTTAATATGTCGAATTTCACTGCGCTTCGTGAAAAATGTAATCTAACATTAGCACAACAGCAGTAGATCCATGAACAAATTACTGCGTGCTTTTATTAACATTGCTGCAAATGTTAAATTTTAGGGTGCCCACAGCATTATGTGTAGCTGTTAGTGTTGGTTAGAACATTTTGTCCACTTTGTACCTTTGGCGTCTGTTGTTGCGTGCAATACAAAATAGGAATTACAAGATTTGTGATGTCGGCCACGGATGAATTTTATCCAGATATAGAGACGTGGTGTCGCCTGTGCCTACAGGAGCTCAAGGATGCGCACACGATCTTTGCCGAGGACGACAAGGAGTTGTCCATACCAATGCGCTTGATGGCCTGCCTCTCGTTGGAGGCGAAGGCAACTGATGGCTTACCGAAAAAGATTTGCGGCGACTGTCGTTACCAGCTGGAGAAGTCGTTTCTTTTCCGCCAGCGAAGTCAAACGGCTGATAAAAAGCTGCGGAAACACATTCGCCTTGTGAGCATGGGTAAAAAGAGCCGCGTCTTCGCCAAGTCGTTGGATAATGACTCGGATGAGGATGAGCTGGAATTCGTGGAATCCATCGAATTTATAGAAAAACTTGAAATGCTGCATGAAAAAAACTCACAAAAATGGCGGGAAAAGTACAAGGAAGAGATGGAAAAAGATTTTGAATGCCGACTGGATTCCGCGCGTACTAAGCTATCTGGGGAATTGCGCAGACAACTCATGGAGGAAGTGCGAAGCGATGTGCGTCAGCAACTACATGACGAACTGCAAGAGGAAAGCCGCAGGGAACAGCTAGCTAAGCTTGTGGGTGAACTTGAAGTTTTCTTGGTTGAAAAGAAAGCCGGTCTCTGGGAGACTCTGGGTGAGCTTCCAGTTGACCCAAAGTTGGAAACCACAACAACTCCGGAGACAACAGCAGCACTAGCACCAGCAACTATACCAGCGCCCAAGCCAACTACCGAGCAGCGGGTAACTCGAAAACGCGGTCGCATCTCGTCGCCCACAGTTCAAACAAAGCGTCGACCAAAAGCCTCGGGCTCTGAAGGGGCTTTATATAAGATAGAGGGTGAATCCAAAGCAGAGACACTATCCGCGGATGACGCGGAAATAGACACATCTGCGCCAGATACCATGGAGAGTTTTCGTGATATAAAGATGGTCGGCGCTGGCGACGTGGTGACAAGCCAAAATGGAGAAATCTATATCATAAATGCTGCCTCATCGGCAAATTCTACGCCAGGTTCCTCAATTGAATTTCAGCAGGAGAAGAACATCACATCGTACAATAGTAAGCATTTGGCTATTCTAGTAATTCGGAAGTCTTGTAACAACTTGCTTTTGCTTTCCATTTGCAGTTAAGGACAATGGAGAGATTCAGTTTACCGACTCCAAGTCTGAAGATATTGGTGATGTGATGGTGTTTAATCTTGGCGATGAGGAAGGCGACGATCAGCAGGTGTACGAGTTTAACGACAATGTCATCATATTGGTAAGCAGCAGCCAGGAATTGCTAGCATCTAGTCTAATCAATTTTGTATCGCTTGCAGTCAGACGAAAAGGCAAACAGCCAAATAGTGACACCCGTGAAAGGTACAAAAAACGATTTTGTGGTGAAGCGAACTCCGCGCAACACCAAGCCGACGGTTGGACGTGCCAGCGATACGCTGAAAACGTTTCAGTGCCAGCTGTGCCCAATTGCGTTTGCTACTGAGAAAACGCTGTCGCGCCATCTCAGCACGCACATCAAAACGCTGAAGAACGGAACCGGCGGGGCACTAAAGTGCCCCGTTTGCCAACTGCAGCTATCCTGCGCCAGTTCGCTAAAGCGTCACATGATCATCCATACGGGGATGAAGCCATATAAATGCGATGAGTGCGAATTGTCGTTTTCGCAGCGCGAAGTCCTCAAGCGTCACATGGATACGCACACGGGTGAGAAACGCCACCAATGTCCCCACTGTGACACCTGCTTTGCCCAAAAGACTAATCTGCAACAGCACATTAACCGGATGCATATGGAAGGTGAACGTCAGCACAAGTGCCACCTCTGTAAGCGTAGTTTTAACCATGTGTCGGGTCTGAGCCGTCACCTTGTCGCCCACGCAGGCGTCACATTTGCCTGTAAGGAGTGTGGACGTCAGTTTAACGACCGCAGCGCTGTGCAGCGACACGTGCAGAATGTGCACAAGGTCAAGGATACGGGCGCCGATTCGGCAACGGATAACAATGGAAATGATACGGAATTTGAATAAGTGTGTTCAAGTTCCTTATTATTTGGGCAAAGGAGCATCTAATTGTATTACAAATTTTAACAGTACCAATTTTGAATTTGTAGTTCAAAAATCATTTTAGCATAATCCAAATATTTTTAAAAAACGTTTTGCAATTTTATTCGATAATTTTTTTAAGTGCTCACAATTATTTTTGGCACTAAACAAGAACATTTTCTTTATTGGTTTGAAACAGTCGAAGAAGACATGCGAAAAAAAAAAACAATTTAGCACACGCAAAAACTTATTACTAACAAATACGAATTGGAAACATCCGAAACAGTTTCAACATGATACGGTATAATATAAGATAGCTAGCTACATAGATTTAGTATACACACAGTTATAATATATAATTTACATAACAGAATGTACAATACGCTTTAGGCAAAAACATGTACATACATACATATTTAAACATTGTAAACAATAAACATTTATATAAATATGGATTACGAGCCATTTGCACTTAACTATAGGCCTAAGCTAATTAATTAAACGTCAACAAAACATTAAACCAATACGAAATTCAAATGCAATGCAATGCAATTAATATCAAGAGCGCCTTTAAATGAGATTGCCTAGTAAAACAGTTTCGAGTTGGCGGCTCTTTTTAAAATGCCAGCACCGAAATGAACCGTTTAATAATTTAGCATAGCGATTAAGAACAAGCGATTGGCACCCAAGCTAGCTAAAACATTGGAATATCTATTGTAACGAGTAAGTTGTCAACATGGCCGAGAGGCCTACTGTCACTGTTAGTCTGAGTTGGTTAGCGAGCTGCGTTGCGATTCCAGCGTATTTGAGTCGTTGCGCTGGCGCAACATGCGTGGCTGACTGGCAGCAAAGTTGGAAAAGTCCTTCATCACATCCTTATACGTCTCATCCTCGCCATTATACTCATCGCTCAGACCGATCTCGTCGTTGAGACGTGTTAGGCGTAGACTATAAAGAGATAAAAAACTATATCTTAGTAAGGCGTCCACATTCAGTGTAAGAAACCTTTCAACTTACAGCGTCACGATGTCCGCATTCTTCTGTTCAACGGCAATATCCAGCGCCTTTTTGCCATCACTGGAGGCCAGATCATAAGCAGCCTTGTGTTTTAGCAGTAAATACACCTGTGCAATGTGTCCTTTGGCCGTGGATATATGTAGTGCGCTGTAGCCAAGCTCATCGACTGCATCAATCGCAGCTCCATTCAGAAGCAAATACTCACAAGCCATCACCGACCCAGAGAGCACTGCCTGATGCAGAAAGGAACGCTGACGGTCCTGTACATTCTTCCAGTTCTTGTCGGCGCCCAGAGCAAAGGCCATGCACATAACAGGTAGATTATGCACAACAGCTGCTTTGTAAAGCAACAGATTGGCATCTAACTGCGTGAAGGGCACTTCTTCCGGCATCTCAGCGTCAGATTCGCCTTCAGTACTCTCCTGATCGCTGCCCAAGATACCGGGCGTTTCATAGCGGTCCAAAGCCAAATCATCACCAATTACTAGTAAATCATCGCGCGATATGCTTAGCGACATTGAGGGAATGTTTATCGACTCATCATCATCATCATCGTCCAATTCGTCACCAGTTTTGGCCGTGTTGTATATACTCGGATCATCGCTGAGGGTCTTGGGCAACGGTCTCTGTCGTCGTCGCCTCAACTTTTTCACTGTCCACTTGCGTGTACCGCCCAGCGAGAGTGTCGCACGCTTGCCAAGAAGTCCACCGCCGCCGCTTCTGCCACCACATTCACCGCCATCTTCTGCTGTTTCACCGCTTTCTATGCTTAGCACTTCGGCCGTTTCACTCGACAGCAGATCCTGGGGCTTGGGCATGCCGCAGACAAAACGCCGCTCCACATACTTGGCCTTGATCCAGGCTTCGCGCACTCCAATCTCACATTGCTCTGAGGGTTTCCTTAGCTCACAGTCTTCGCCGATTCGCGCCTCGTAGATACGATTTACGACCTCGTTTCCCAGCTCCATCATTACCTTGACATTCTCAGTCTCCCAAGCGTCTAGTGTCAGGGAGCGCACCTTGCTGTAGTGCACGCCGAGACTGCGATGCACACCTGAGCACTCGATGCACAGCGTTATGCCCAAATTAATGGAAGCCCAGCGGGGATCTGATCCGCGACAGTCGCAGCACTGGGCATTGCCTGGTATCTTAAGAAACTCCTCCCAGTGACTAAACATGATTCATGCATGTTATCTATGTATACAAATATATATATGGATTTATTCACACTTACATTCGTCGCTTGGCAGGTAGCGCATTTGGAGCATTTGTCGACTGTGGTCGTGAGTGATGCGTGGATGCGTGTTGTATGGCTGCGCCAATGCTGTGCTGCAACGCGGAGATCCACAGCGAGAGCATGTCCGCCGAGTCCGCTTGGAGTGTGTGTGACCTATTTTGAAGAGAATCCACTTAATTGTATAATGTAATTGGGGCTGGGAAGGATTACTCACTTGGTTGGCGATATCACCTCAAAGCAGAAGCGGCGATCGCCTTCG